AAACATTGTCACATTGGGGGTCCCCCAGATTGAAGAAGTGAGGAGTATTATTTGCACATTTTATAATTTTATAATTTTTGGACTTTATTTTTGGTCTTTTTTTTTGTATGTGGGACTTTTGATGGACATTATGGTTAATTACATAGAGACTACGGTAATATGTTTGTAAGATTATGAAAAAAAGGTAGTTGGTTGTATGCACTTTCAAAGGGTGAAAGGTTGACTTTTCATGTGGGAAATTTAAGAGTATTAATTTATTACTTACTATACTTACAGTGATACCTTTCATCCATGAAAAGACGGAACCAAATCCTGATCCTAGCCAATCAAAAGGAGTCCATCCATCTTTTCCTATAGCTCTAGCTTCTTCCATTAAACCATCTACCTGTTCCCTGTGCTGCTTTATTATTTCATAATAATCTGGAACAGTCATTGTGGTATTATATATCCAAGTACAACATTCCTAATCCTCTGTCATCTCACACAAACCTGTCAGAGCAGCACTCATGCTTTCAATAGCTAATTCTTGCATCCCCAGCTGTTTTCTAATAGCTCTGGTCTCAATATTTAGCAACCCTGTGTCCTTTAAGTTCCTCTCCAGTATATCATCAATAATGTTTGTGTAATTATTTATTTTGTTCATGAGTGTTATTCCCCATCCTGTGTAGGTACGGAACCATGACCAAACCTTATCACCTGTAAGAGAATAGATCTACCTTTTCTTGTTTGGTTTCCTTTCTCAGTCTCAGAGTTAGTTGGTGTTTTGGGTATGTACTGGCTTTTTACCTGGTGTTCCTTTTGGTCTATAGCTGCTATGATTGGCACTAATTGGGCTACATAGCACCAGCCCTAGACATTACTCGGTATCCAAGGGTAACAGATCTTACCACAACAGATATAGGTATTGTTTCCCAAGGAAAATTGGCAATTTTTGTATTGCAGAATGAAATTCAGGGGTGACAACAAGTGTAAAATAAAAAAGAAGTTTTCCAAACATAGTTTTTCCCTACATTATCTTGTATCCCTTCTAAACTTTCATACAGGGCTCTACCATTTACTTGCCAGAGTTTCACAGAAGAAGTCCCATCCCTCCTTCCAGGATCAGATATATTTAATATGGACTGAGAGCATATTCCCTTTCCCTTGTGGGAAGTATTCCCCAGTCTAAAACACCAATCGGGGGAGTTGAGTGATTCCCAGAGTTGGAAAAGATATGGTGGCATTAGAAGTAATATTGGTCAAACCAATACTTACATTCCCTGTTATAAAAAAAAATATTTTCACTGGAGCGGCCAGAAGGGGAATTTCATATGTGCTAGGATGTAACTTACTACATATCCAACACATTTATCATAACCTGACTTTTGAGCATAAGCATATTTAAACTGCATCATCAACATTTTTCCTGAAAAAGGATTGTTCTCTTCAAAACTTCTTTTTGACTTTCTTTCACTTTTGGTTATCTGGGTCTCATTTAAATCTAGTCCTTGACCACAGATACTTTTATTAGTCCCAAGTCTCAGGGTGATAAATACAGTTAGTTATGATCCATACTGGCAGGAAAAAGAGCAGAGTCAGTGTGACCAATAGGACCCAGATCTTCAAAGCACCATGATGGGCAGTAAGGAATGTCATCTTCAGGGTCTTTCTCACCGATTTCACCCGCTCTTCGAGGATTTTCCACTTGTACTTGACCTCCTTTTTCCGTCTCGTGTTTCTCAGTTGTTTGGTTTCACCTTCTTCACTTGACTAGCATGGATCCAGGACTGGGAATTCTCCACCAGAATAGCTGTTCTGGTAACCGCTATCACCGTAGTAGGCGGTCCAAAGGGGTAGCCTTGCTTCTTGTCTTTAGCGAGTTGGCGGACCACTACGACATCTCCCACTTGGAAAAGGTGTGTTGGTTCCTGAGAAAATAAAGGAGAGGTGCGAGCAACATTTCTTTCAATCTGATCTAAAGTCTGAATCAATTTTCTCACATATTCTTGTTGTACCTGGTCAAGGTCCCCTCTTTCTAACATAAGTGGCTGTCTAGCCCAAGGAGTAGGGAACAGTCTTCTCATTAATATTTCAAAAGGAGATAACCCTGTAGTCTTATTAGGTGTCATTCTTACCTCTGCTAGAATTGCAGGTAACATCTTCTTCCAGTGGGTATAGGTTCCTCCAGTGGCCTTCCTCAACTTATCCTTAATTGTCCTGTTCATCCTTTCTACTATACCCAAACTTTGAGGATGATAGGGAATATGAAATTTCCAATCTATCTTAAGTAATTTTACCAGATCTTGGCATACCTTACCACAAAAGCTGGTCCGTTATCAGAATTTATCTGCAGTGGACATCCCCATCTGGGTATTATCTACTGTGTAAGAATTCTGACTATAGTCTGTGCATTTTCTTTATTAGTGACAAATGCTTCTACCCCTCTGCTAAACATATCCACCATTACCAACAAAAACTCTTGCCTCTGTCAGTAACCAATCATACCAGAAAAGTTAGCATGTCCTTTTTTGTTTGTGGGCGGGGCAGACCCACCAGAGCCGCAGCTCTTTTGTGACTGACATTCCTCTCACCATGACTTAGAGTAAAACCAAGGTATTCAACCTGTTTTTTTTTTTTTGGCACCATTGCAGTTTCTTTTTAGATGCTTTGTGACCATTCCCTAACAACCATTCTAACAGAGACCAACTATCCTCCAGACTGGCCGCCTGACTTGAACTACAAATCAATAGGTCCCACATATTGTAGGAGGACCGAACCATTGGGAGGGGTCCAGGACCTCAGTGTGGTCTGGAGGGCAAGTGAGTAGACTGCAGGCGAATCTACAAAACCCTGGGGCATTCTACACCAGGTCATCTGGCGAGTTTGGAATATAAATACACCCCATGAACACGGAAATAACGGCAGCTTATGTTCAGAGATGTTCAAAGTTTATTAGACATTACTAAGATTATATAGAATACTGAAAAAATAAGGGAGGGGGGAAGCGAGTTTTCAAACTGTAACTTGTAACTTTCCATCATGAGCTGACTACATGAAACATGATATATACATTTCTTGGTATAAATTGTTTTTGCTAGCTTCCTGAGAAATAGTTGAACAAAGACAATGTGTTAGGAATGGACTGGCCAGCAATGGTGGGACTCACCTGCCTTTTGATCTGCAGTACCAGGGCTGGCCAGCGGGTGATCCCAGCAATCAGAGACTCAACCTTTCAGCCAGCTAACACCTGGAACTGATGATGCTGGGGTATTTAAGGGATGGCCAGACCCACAGACTCTGCCTTGGTGTTGTGTTTGTCCTGGGCCCTGTATCTGTCCCGCATCCTGTTTCTGTCCCGCATCCTGTTTCTGTCCCTCTGCCTAACCCTCTGTACTACGCCTTGTTACCTGTTTTGATCTCTGGCTTGTGACCCTGACCATCCCTCTGCCTGACCCTCTGTACTACGCTGCTTGCTACCTGCTGAACCTGGCCTGTGACCCCGACCATTCTCTGCTTGCTCCCCCTGTACCTACCTGCCCAATTGATATTGACCCGGCCTGCCTGACGACGCTTGCTTGTATGTACTGTTATCTGTGGGTGGTTTGGTTTGTTTGCACTGTATTATGTTTAGTATTGCACTGCGTTTATGTTTGTATGGTTAGTGTTAATAAATTGTATTGTTTATCACATATCTGAAGTCTGCGTTTCCCTGCATCAGTCACACACCTCTGGTCATACCTGGGAGCCCTGACATTACACCAAGGCCAATCCTGACCAGAAGTGGCTGCACAGGGAAGCCATCTTGGCTTGTTGATGGGAAGGATGGATCTTGATGAGGTTGAATATTTATATCTGCTAGTGTTTGATGACAGGGAGTATGCTTATCAAACTCTGAAGGAGTATACCCGGGATGAACTGCTAGAATGTATACGGCTCGCTCATGTTCTAGTAGATCAGGGCACAGAGTTCTCTGAGGTGCAGCCTTTGATTGAGGTTTGTGCTGAGTTGGTTTCATCTGGTTCCCCCGAATGCAGGGATGAATTTTTGCCACCATTTAGTGCCGACCAGGTAGAGTCCCTGGTGTGGTTATTAGAGGATGATGTGGGTTACTTTCTGGAGCGTTATTCCACATGTTCACCACAGACACTAAGAGATTGTATAAACGCAGTACAGTCATTGACCAGACAGGCTTTGTGTAAGCTCAGCTTTGTTCACCCATACTGCAGACATGGACAGATTTGTTGCACCCAGCCTCAGTCAGCTTACAAAGACCCAGTCCTGCTTCTAATCTATTTCCTCAAAACTCTATTCCTGCATTCCCAACAGCTCCTCCTGCCCTGCTATCTACCGCATGTCAGTACCCTGTTCCCACTCGCTGCACCTATCCTGCCTTTAACCCTGTAAAAGAGCCCTCTGTAGCAACCGCGCTCCCTCTCCTGTTCCATCCTCCAGTTCTTCTCTGTCTCCAGCTGCTCCATTCGTTTGCAGACCTGCGTTTACTTGCAGTGCTCCAGTAGTTAAAACCAGAAAAAAGCGAAAATTCTTTCCAACCAATACCATCCTGCCAGTATCCAAACCGGTGAGCCTGCCTTCCGTGGTTCAGCCTGAAGCCTCTACTCAGCCTGAAGCCTCTACTCAGCCTGATGCCTCTACTCAGCCTGATGCCTCTACTCAGCCTGAAGCCTCTACTCAGCCTGAAGCCTCTACTCAGCCTGATGCCTCTACTCAGCCTGATGCCTCTCTTCAGCCTGATGCCGGTACGCAGCCTGATGCCTCTCTTCAGCCTGATGCCTCTCTTCAGCCTGATGCCTCTCTTCAGCCTGATGCCTCTCTTCAGCCTGATGCCTGTATGCAGCCTGATGCCTCTCTTCAGCCTGATGCCTCTACTCGGCCTGAAGCCTCTACTCGGCCTGAAGCCTCTACTTGGCCTGAAGCCTCTACTCGGCCTGAAGCCTCTACTCGGCCTGAAGCCTCTACTCGGCCTGAAGCCTCTACTCGGCCTGAAGCTTCTCTTCAGCCTGATGCCGGTACGCAGCCTGATGCCTCTCTTCAGCCTGATGCCTCTCTTCAGCCTGATGCCTCTCTTCAGCCTGATGCCTGTATGCAGCCTGATGCCTCTCTTCAGCCTGATGCCTCTACTCGGCCTGAAGCCTCTACTCGGCCTGAAGCCTCTACTCGGCCTGAAGCCTCTACTCGGCCTGATGCCTCTACTCGGCCTGATGCCTCTAACTCGGCCTGATGCCTCTACTCGGCCTGAAGCCTCTACTCAGCCGGACGCCTCTACCCAGCATGATGAACTGATCCAGCCTGACGATCCTATTAGGCCAGTTGACTCGATGCCCGCTGTTGATCCAGATGATCCGGTACCTGATCCGGTGCCCGCTGTCGAGCCAAATGACCTGATGCCTGGTGACCCAGTGCCCGCTGTCATACCTAGTGACCCGATGCCCGCTGTCGAGCCAGACAATCCGGTACCTGATGACCCGGTGCTCACTGTCGTGCCTGTTGACTCGGAGCCCACTGCCTTGCCAGATGACGCGGTGCCCGCTGTCGAGCCAAATGACCTGATGCCTGGTGACCCAGTGCCCGCTGTCATACCTAGTGACCCGATGCCCGCTGTCGAGCCAGACAATCCGGTACCTGATGACCCGGTGCTCACTGTCGTGCCTGTTGACTCGGAGCCCACTGCCTTGCCAGATGACGCGGTGCCCGCTGTCGAGCCAAATGACCTGATGCCTGGTGACCCAGTGCCCGCTGTCCAGCCAGACGATCCAATGTCTGACCCAGTGCCAGCGGTCATCCCAGTTGACTCGGAGCCCACGGTTGTGCCTGGTGACTCGGTGCCCGCCGCCCCGCCTGGGGGCCTGAGACCTGTCGTTCCGCCTAAGGGCTCGAGACCTGTCGTTCCGCCTAAGGGCCCGAGACCTGTCGCTCCGCCTGGGGGTCAGGCGCCCGCCCGCTCCGCCTGAGGGTCCGAGACCTGTCGCTCCGCCTGGGGGTCCGCGGCGCCCGCCGCTCCGCCTGAGGGCCCGAGACCTGTCGCTCCGCCTGGGGGTCCGGCGCCCGCCGCTCCGCCTGAGGGCCCGAGACCTGTCGCTCCGCCTGGGGGTCCGGCGCCCGCCGCTCCGCCTGAGGGCCCGAGACCTGTCGCTCCGCCTGGGGGTCCGGCGCCCGCCGCTCCGCCTGAGGGCCCGAGACCTGTCGCTCCGCCTGGGGGTCCGGCGCCCGCCGCTCCGCCTGGGGGCACGATGCCTGTCGCCACGCCTGGGGGCACGATGCCTGTCGCCCCCGCCTGGGGGGCACGATGCCTGTCGCCCCGCCTGGGGGCCCGATGCCTGTCGCCCCGCCTGGGGGCCCGGTGCCCTGTCGCCCCACCCGGGGGCCCAGTGCCTGCTGCTCCGCCCGGGGCCCCGGTGCCTGCTGCTCCGCCCGGGGGCCCGATGCCTGGCGCCCCGCCCGGGGGCCCGGTGCCTGCTGCTCCGCCCGGGGGCCCGGTGCCTGCTGCCCCCCGGGGGCCCGGTCGCCCCGCCCGGGGGCCCGGTGCCTGCTGCTCCGCCCAGGGGCCCGGTGCCTCTGCCCGATGTGCCTCTGCCCGGTGTGCCTCTGCCCGGTGTGCCTCTGCCTCTGCCCGGTGTGCCTCTGCTCGATGTGTGCCTCTGCCCGGAGTCCAGCCCGGTGTGCCTCTGCCCGGAGTCCAGCCCGGTGTGCCTCTGCCCGGAGTCCAGCCCGGTGTGCCTCTGCCCGGAGTCCAGCCCGGTGTGCCTCTGCCCGGAGTCCAGCCCGGTGTGCCGCTGCCCGGAGTCCTGCCGGTGTGCCAGTCTTTGATATCCCGCCAGTTACCAGACCCGGGCGGTGGAACATTTTGCCCAGCTAGGACTGTTTGGAGCGTCCTGAGGCCGCTCCTTGGGGGGGGGGGTACTGTTAGGAATGGACTGGCCAGCAATGGTGGGACTCACCTGCCTTTTGATCTGCAGTACCAGGGCTGGCCAGCGGGTGATCCCAGCAATCAGAGACTCAACCTTTCAGCCAGCTAACACCTGGAACTGATGATGCTGGGGTATTTAAGGGATGGCCAGACCCACAGACTCTGCCTTGGTGTTGTGTTTGTCCTGGGCCCTGTATCTGTCCCGCATCCTGTTTCTGTCCCTCTGCCTGACCCTCTGTACTACGCCGCTTGTTACCTGTTTTGATCTCTGGCTTGTGACCCTGACCATCCCTCTGCCTGACCCTCTGTACTACGCTGCTTGCTACCTGCTGAACCTGGCCTGTGACCCCGACCATTCTCTGCTTGCTCCCCCTGTACCTACCTGCCCAATTGATATTGACCCGGCCTGCCTGACGACGCTTGCTTGTATGTACTGTTATTTGTGGGTGGTTTGGTTTGTTTGCACTGTATTATGTTTTTAGTATTGCACTGCGTTTATGTTTGTATGGTTAGTGTTAATAAATTGTATTGTTTATCACATATCTGAAGTCTGCGTTTCCCTGCATCAGTCACACACCTCTGGTCATCAGGGTCGTCTTATCTTTTGTTGATAAATCCTTGAGCAAACTAAAACAGTTTCATTAAACTTCAAATATATCTGCAAAAACCTAACTTAATACTTAAAATGGCGTACATTAACAAAATGGAGGTTATCTAGATCCTTTCAATTAACACATCCTTTTCTGTAAGCAATCTGTAACGATCACTCACTGTGTTCATTTATAACTGAAGTATACTAAACTGTGTTTCCCATGCTTCAGTTTGTGAATGAACAGAAGTCTCTGTATAGAGCTCCCTGTTTATTCATCTTCAGTGCAGCTGAGGCTGCAGAGAAAGAAACTGAAGAATCTGTGTCCTCAATTCCTTTCTCTGTCTCAAAAGTGAGACATCAGGGGTCTGTTTATAACCCTGATATTTCACCAAAGTCCCCCAACAGGGCTGATAAAATAATTGTAAAAAATAATAATAAATAAAATTGTAAAAAAAAAAAATAAAAAAAAAAAATTACTGACACAGTCCACTATAGGTGGAACTTGAGAGGTCGCAGGGGTTGCAATGGCAACCCTGCCAATGCTCCAGTGGGTCCATATGGCCTCCTTGTCACATTAAGTGTTGCTAGGATATAGCACTTGCTGCATCACCCTGCATAGGTCCTATGCCCTTTAAGTTTCCAGTTTCACCTACACAGGGTGATGTGGCAAGCCTCTGCTTAGCACCTCTACCCAGCCCAGTACAGCCCCTCCCTACTCTACTCAGCTCTTCTTAACCGTGCATGTGCACGCAAGGTGGGGGCAGGCAGGCTTCACTCTGAGCTGACAGGTGAAAGGGTGGTGGGCTTGTACTGTAAGTAAATCTGGAAGTCAGAAGGCCTAGCCAAGCTGGGCACTCTGAGTCTCCTTTTTTAAATATAGTGAAGCGGCGGGTGGTAGTGGGGGGAGGCCCAGGTCAACTTTTTTATTGGGGCCCACATGCTTCAAGGTACGCCTCTAATTAATCCATTCACTTCACATGCAGAAAAAGTTTGCAGTTATTTCTTTTACATTTGCAACCCCTGTACCAATAATTGTGAACAGCCAAAAGTGAGATATTTCTGTATTATACTGCTCCTAAACACACGGTAGAAACTTTCTATGCCCTGAAGCCCACTTGCCTTCTTTAACCATTTCAGCTCTGGAAGATTTACCCCCCTTCATGACAAGGGCATTTTTTGCAATATGGCACTGAGTTACTATAACTAACAATTGTGCTGTCATACAACGCTGTACACAAATTACATTTATATCGTTTTTTTCTCACAAATTGAGCTTTCTTTTGGTGGTATTTTATCATTTTTCATTTTTTGCGCTATT